ATAGCATGTATAAAGAATCTAATTAATAAATATTCAAAGCACACAAGTGAGTGAATGTAAGAGTATATTTCCATCTCAGCAGGAATAATGCCCAAATTCCAACAGGCCAAATGAAATAACACTCATGACATTGGATATATTTACATGTCAGCTAAAAGCCTTAGCAATTAATAGATATATAGCATGTATAAAGAATCTAATTAATAAATATTCAAAGCACATAAGTGAGTGAATATTTCCATCTCAGCAGCAATAATGCCCAAATTCCAAAAGGTCAAACAAATCCGGCCAATATTAGACAAACAAATCATGTAATGTAATCACTAAAAATCATATTTGAAAAAAAAAACTGAATATTTTTGCTCATCAAGGATGTCTTGCAACAAGCTTCATAAAACTGAAACGAAGGCTAAATTGGCTTCATATTTTTGGAAATTGAATATTTAGTTTTTCCTCATCAAGTATGTCTTGCTGAAAAAAAGAAAAAAGCAAATTAGTATCTACTATTGTGAATAAATAAACTCGTGAAATACACTAGAATCATTTGATTACCGTTACTGTCTTTGCATTTTGTTGAGTAGAGCGAATCCAACTGGAAGCACAAATCAATGCATTAACAGTTTTAGTAGATAAACTACTTCTGTAATCATCCAAGACCCTACCACCTGCACTAAAAGCTGATTCTGAGGCAACCGTTGTTATAGGTATTGATAGAATATCACGAGCCATAATTGAAAGTTGGGGGTACTTCAATGTATTCATCTTCCACCAATCGAGCACATCAAAATTTTCATTAGAACCCACGAATAATCCCTCTTCAAGGTATACTTGTAAATCGGGTTTCGATGGTTCTACAGAACCGGAAGCTACAACAAAATCTTGAAACCCAAACATTGCGTCAAAATGACTTGAGGAACTGGCAGAATCAATTGCAGATGAAAATCTCTCATTAGAAACATTGCACTCAACAACATAATCTGCATATATTTCCCACAAGGCATCTTGAGCTGTTTTTAGATTTTGCTCAACCTCGTCATGTGCGTATATCTTCGGGAATGTGTAACTAATAAATTTTAGTTTTAGTCTAGGATCCAAAATTGCTGCAATAGACATAAGAAGATTACATTCCCCCCAATATTTATTGAATTTGATTTGCATGCTTGTAGTCATATTCTTCATGTATTCATCTTCTGAGAATGACTCTTCCATCAAAATTTTCTTAACATGCAGAACTACAGGTAAAAATATATTTGAAGTAGGATATAAAGTGCCAGATAGCATCTTCGTAACATTATTGAAAACTGAAAGAAATTTTCTGATTTTATCATATTTAACCCATTCTGAATCATTAGGCAACCATTTGTAGTTACCATCTCGAATTGCGTAGTGATTAAAAACATTGTGATAAATAAATGCAGACTCCAACATATTGAAAGTTGAGTTCCATCTAGTGGAAACATCAATGGACAGTGACCTTGTAGTTGGAACTCCTAGTTGCTTTGCCACTTCCACAAATTTATGCAATCTTGCAGGGGATTTTTTCAAATACTTAACAGATTCTCT